GGAGACACAAAAGCACGGCATTGAGAAAGGCTCGCGGGCAAGGGAAGCTCTCAACAACACTACAAAAGCCACGGGTCGCGGCGTTGTGTTTATGAGTCATCACCAGCAGGATCAGAAACCAGCGACTGAAACACGAAGCAGGTAAAAGTCCTATGAGATAGAGACTCGGCTTGTCGATTATGTATACAGACCTCAAGGTACTTGAATGGCTCTGATTATCTTTTACCATTCGAAGTACCTTTTGAGAGCTACATAAGGTACCGTCTCTTCTTTTCACCAATTGTCGGGGAGGTACATATAGCCACCCTGAGGAAGCCCTGATTAGAAGAAGGAATCTGAAGTTGAAGAAGCAAAAATACAAAATTATACAGACACAGCACCTCCATCCAAAGGACTGAGCGTAGATAAAATAACCCGACACCGCATTCACCTGGGTATTTTTCTCATTAATTCGCAGAAAATACCCGATTCAGGCCATACAGTCTTCACACCTTGAGCCTTCCAGTTAAGGTGGTGCTCGAGCCTCACACTGAAGGGACCAACAAGTTCTGGTTCTCCTAAAATAGGAGGGCATTGACATGATTCTGAACCGATGCGCTACTGGAATGGGAATACCAAGACTAGCGTTAACACCGAACTGTTACTCCCGAGGTGTTCAAGCTCCCAAGTCACAGCACACCAGCGTGTTTCTATTTTGGGATATCGTAAGTGTAATCTGGGTGCTCCAGGCGCGAGACTTTCGAAACTCAACTTGATATAAAAGCAGAAGCTGAATGTTGTTCGATACCGTACCTAGGGAGTGTTGAACCTGAACCATCAGCAAGGCTGGGGAATGGCGCATCGGAAGATGTTGCTTCCGGCGTTAAGAACTGTCAAGAGAATCTGCATCACAAACCATCAGTGGGGTGTTGACCGCCATACTTTAGTGACACATCACCTGCCCAAATAGCGATGCCGCTAGAACAGTTCAGGCGCGAAATAGAAAAAAGCTCTCAGGAAAAGGGGTAATGCCCAGAAGTTGAGAAACGGCGCACTGTCCAAGCGACACGTCGAGGAACACCCGGGCCACGCCCGGCCGGAGCGGCACAGCACACGACCGCCGATGCCATCGGTCATTTCGGCAGCGCCGTAGCGGGCGCGCCCACTCACCAGCGACATGTTTCCACGCGAACCTATGCATGATGCACAGTCCTTTCGCTTCCCTCACACTGCATCCACCCTGTAACAAATCCTCACAAAAACCGGAAGCAATTTCGCCGGTTTTTTTTGTTCCCTATCCCTATTTGACACAAAAAGTTACCCGCCAGTTTGGTTCACCACATTTTAACCCAGAACATCATGTTTCAAAAACCCCCTCCTCCCTTGCTAGCCCAAGAGATCAGCAGGAACAGTACCATACTCGCAAGCTTTGCAGATTTAGGTTTAGCTCCCTCACTCTCCCAAAGTCTTGGTGACCTTTTGTCTTCTCCGAGCCGTCAGACATGCAGTAAAAACAGAAAACAAAACCCCCCCAAAAAGGCGGCGTGGGGGTGGGTGTTTGTGGCTGACCAACAGGGACGATTCCGTTTCGCTTGGTCCCTTGAGGCAGAACAACACCAACAAACATGCCATGCCAGTTGGGAGATGTACACTAAGACAGTTCTAGAAGTAAGCGGTGAGAGCGTGATAGGTAATACCTAACAATACACCTCTGCAGCCTTAATACAAGTCAGCGTGTGACTTACTAACCTAATAGGGTATAAAACACAGACATTTTTCACAAGTACAGGTACTTCCAAATAGGCTATTTTCCTATACAAATCAAAGTACCTATGCTAATAGGGAATGAGTCTACCTTCGGCTTCAATCATCTGTTAAAGCTTTTGGGGCATACTGTGGGCAAGCTCACGAAGCTATCCATAGGGTACTGCTTCTCAGGCTGCTTTAATTACCTTGCGCAGGGCCCTGGGAGTAAGGCTTTAGATATTATATTTAACTTCGATCTAATTTTTCATCCAAAACCACACATTTTTAATAGGGTTCAAATCAAGTAATTTTGCCAGCTAATTTAGAGCTTTAATTCCAAAGCTAGCGATATAAGCCCGGGTTATATAAAACGAGTAAGGCGAGGCATTATTGTATTAGAAAACTACAGAAGTACCTTAAGCGTCTTTTCTTATAATAAACCCTTAAATAATATTAAAATACAGCTTTTATTTGTGGATTTTACAGTGTATCTGAGCCCTATATATTATAGGGCCTCAGAAGCAATATAATGGCTTGGATCAGCAGTGCTTAGGGACCACGGTTGCCGGAACGGAACTCGGCCCCCTGAAGCAATTCGAAGTCCCGGAAAGCCGAACGCTAAAGCTAGTGCCCTGCAGCGGCTAAACGGTAGCGCAACGTAGCCTGTAACGTGGCCTGTAACCTTATTTTAGTTAGCGTACTTAGCGGGCATTCGGGCCCGGGAACGGAGTTATCTTTAGGAAGTAAGTGAAAGACCGACGGCCTATAAAACCTCTGCCTCACACTTTATTTACTGTGATATTTCTTAGTCTATAAGGTTCAATTAATATACTAGTTTACTACACTTATTAGTGCCTCATAAGCCTATGTAATAGTAATTCTCTTTTATATATTATAAGGCGCCGCCCCTATAATCTACCTTCCTTTAGTGCTCTAATAACTGTCGAATGCTGCAGTTAAAGTCTTCTTCGCTCTTAGTGTACCGCGCCGATAGCTATTTAAGCCTATATTTTATAGGCTTCAATAGCACCTATTTTAAATAAATAATAATAATTTACTCCCGCTATTACTAAGCTTCTG